GCAGTTCGCAGAGTTATCGGAAAGTGTTTCCTTTGTAAAAGGATGAACAGTTTGCCTATGACGCAAATGATGGGAGAACTACCAAAAGAAAGAGTCAAGCCAGATGATCCTCCATTTACGTCAGTTGGTGTTGATTTCTTCGGCCCAATTTACGTGCGTCAACGACGATCACATGTCAAACGATACGGATGTATTTTTACCTGCCTGGCAACAAGAGCAACCCACATCGAAGTAGTCGAATCATTGGATACTGATTCGTTTATAAATGCCTACCGTAGATTTGCCAATACCAGAGGAAACCCTTCCGTGGTGTACAGTGATAACGGTACTAATTTGCGGGCTGGAGAGAGGGAGATACACAAAGCAATCCAAGAATGGAACCAAGACAAGATTAACCAGACTTTGAGCCAGAAAAACGTACAATGGTATTTCAATCCTCCAAAAGCCTCACACATGGGTGGTGTCTGGGAGCGCGTAATCAGGTCAATCCGAAAGATAATGAGAGCGATACTTGGAAGTAAGGTTGTTACTGATGAAGTCTTACGAACAACTATGTCCGAAGTGCAAGCAATTCTCAACAGTCGACCACTAACACCACTCAGCAACGATGTAAAGGATATGGAAGTGCTTACCCCTAACCATCTGTTGCTTTTACGAAGTAATGCTAATCTGCCTCTAGGGCTTCATCGCGAGGAGCATGGCTACTGTCGACGCAGGTGGAAACAGGTACAGCATCTAGCGAACGTATTTTGGCGGCGATGGCTGAAAGAATATCTTCCAATCATGCAAGTACGACAGAAATGGCTCAGACCCCAGCGCAACCTACAAGATGGAGATTTGGTGCTAATAGCATACGAGAATACCCCGCGTGGTAATGGCCAATTGGCAAGGTTACAAAGGTAAACAAAGGAAGAGATGGTTTGGTACGTTCAGCCTGTCTCTCCACAAGTTCCGGATCTATGGTCACAAGACCTATCAGAAAGCTCTGTTTTCTTGGACACCAAGAACAATGATTTATAAATTAATTAAGTGTTATAGGTTTCGTGTCTTATAAAATATGAACAATTATAATTGGTCATGGGGCGGGTATGTAGACACGAGTATTGTACCTTGTTTGTTTTCTATTGTTTGTAAGTAAGAACGTTAATGTAAATTCCATCGTGTAAGTCAGTTAGTATATAAGTAGTTCGTTTCGTAATATCCATTGTCACAGTCGAAGTCGTAGTCGCCACAAATCTTGTAAGTTGTCGTTATATTTCTTCCGTTTTCCGTCTTGTAAATTTATGTAGTTATATTAATACCGATTGTAATTGTTTTTTAAAATAATTGAGACGTTATGGACTCCATTTTGAGTTTTTTTTTTTTTGAGTGGAAGGACTGTGGCCACATTCCTTTTTATTATCAAGCTTAACGATCACTAGAAGAGCACTGAAATAATTCTGCAAAATGAAAATTCTGTACGTTCTACACGAGATAAGGAGTTTAAGTTAAGAACTAAGTTAGCTTATATTGGTTTAATTTCGTTATAAACTTAAGAGTTTTAACTAAGCTTACTATAAATGAAAGTGTGGCGAACCAACTCTAATTTAAATCTTTTTATGTGGCTCATTTTCTTTGGCTTATAAAACTAGCATATCAGCTTTATATAAAAAACACGTAAAATTTCTAAAATTTTGCTCGTTTTCACAATCAAAAGATTGCCAATAATTTACCCATACGTCCATTGCGGGTTTTCTCTAGCACAGGCAACCCAAACTTACTGAAATATTTATGAACGAATATAGTCACTTTTTCTATAATTGGTCAGATTCTTGTCAGGTTGTCAATCGTTCGACTCTAAAATAATCATTAGTTCATTCTTCGAGCAACGTTTTAGTGTGAAGAGTTATTTACCACTATGGTTGAAGTTTTTGTCAGGAGCCCTTTCAATCGTGGGGGAAAAGCGAGAGAACAACGAAGAGAACGACAGCTTGCTGTTCGCCAGCCCTTCCATTCGCGAGGGAGCCGTTTTAGCGGCAAAAAACGAAGAGACCATCGACAAGAAGGTCGACAAGGCCTCGTGTGACAAGGCCTCCATTTACATGGAAAAATGTCGCACTCAAAAAACCATTATGATTGAAAATATGAGCGATATTGTTAGTGAAAAACAAATAATTGTCAGTGGTGCATGTTTAGTGAGAGAAAACAACGTCAGTGCATTTGAGAGCACTCTTGCAATGATAATGTTGAGCATGATTCAAAAGAAGAACGGCAAATGAGCTTTCTTAATGAAAGTGGCACTGAAATATTCAAAGCAGAATACGAGAAATACAAGCAAAAATCAATGAAAATCATAGCAAAATCAAAGGAAAATTAAAGCAAATCTATGAATACTAATGAAATACTGAGATCACATGAGTCTCATCAGAATCACAAATCTATCAAAACTTGTGAGCAATGAAAGAAAACTATAATCAAATCTATGACTGCCAATCACCAATGTGTGAAGCAAACAGAGAATTATGAGAAATCAGAGAAAACATTGAAGCAAACAATCATTAGTGAAAAGCAAAATGAACTGCATAATGAAATACAAAGCATTCAATGCAATGACTACCGAAATCATGATAACGTACTAGGTGACAAAGTATTTTTCTCTGAAATGTATGCATCTTCAGTGAAACATGATTATGATTCTATCAATGATGGTACAATTGATGAGCAAAAATTTACAAGTGCTGAACAAACTCTTAGAATACGATCTATTATGGGTACCTGGTTCTCTGTGGGACCATTTGGGTCAAAACTCTAGAATTTAGTAGGGAGTGTTCCTTCTAGGTTAGTGTATTTCCTTCGTAATAAACCTATAACTCGCTCAACATGGATCCTTACATTGGCTATGCCTCTTAAACGCTCTACATCAACTGGGTCTAGTTGAGCTTTTCCTTTGGTGAATGCAGGAATCACTAGCTTTTTTGTTTCAAACCAACACTTTCTGAAATTGTAAATCCTCTATCTGCCATTACAGCATCTCCTGGTATCAGTTTTTCTAGGATTCCACATTTCTAGGTTAAGAATTTATCATCTTCCTGGTTCTTCCTCCCCAAGCCTCAGAAACAAAAGAGACAGTTTCTTTGGGTGTAATTCCAATCAGAACCTTAACAGTGTTGTGATGCTTGTAAGATGAAAATGTTTGAGCTCTGGCCATAAGATTTGTGGGTTTCTCAATAAAAACCTCAAAACAATCAATTATCACAGTTACCTTATGACCAAAGGTATATTGAAAACACATTGCCATGGTTTTCCATAGCGGTTCCCTTTCTGGCCAATAAATGAAGGCAGACAACTTTGAATCCATTGCATGTATCCATGAGGTCAATATCCTTGATACGCTTGTCAAGGACACCACAAAACGATATGCTAAATCTTGAAATGGTACGTTAAGCCGTAGTTTCATCAACTAAAATAAATTCTTGAAAGCTGCTCAAACTGGTTAAAGCGGATCGTCGCGACACATACGGACTTACATGTTCGAACACTACCATAAGTACTTCAAACGAAGACAATCCGGTGTAAAAGCGAACTTTATCTGAAGAATCGAAGAAATCCTTGTCTGGAGCACGATACACAGAGTTCTGAAACAAATAATTAAATTCTAGTGTCGGTGTTCCTCTATTTCTCCGCCCTTCAGAAACTACTTCAAAGTCCTCAGTTGAAGTGGAACGTTCAACCACTTTGTGGACGACTGTTTGAGTTCCCTTCTCCATCTCGGTGCCATCACAATATTCCGCATCGCTTGTACTTCCACAAGCCTCATCGACATATAAAGGGTCTAAGCTTGAAACGTCGTCATTCGATGAGCTAGCAGTGGCAAAATCTATATTCTGAACAGGCAGACCACTCTGATCAAGCTCTTTTCTTTTCTTAGCTGCTTCAAGTTGTTGACGTTCAATGTTTCTCTTCCTGCGCTCTTTCGCCCTTTCGGCCCTCAAACTCACTCCTTCTTTATGATCATCAACTGTAGTTTTCTTAGTTTGTTGCTTTCCAAGGTTTAGAGTAGGCACCCAGTCGATGTGATATCTATCCCAGGAAGCTGCAGGTTTTCCATTAACAAAGTGCAGTCCACATACACGTTCACTCTCGAGGATTCTTTTTGTCTGTGTATCGCCTCGACTGATCGCTGAAATCCAGCGCCTTCTCCTCTCTCTCGTGAGTTCTTCGTGCTCTTCTCCTTGATTAGATACAACTTTGGGTATTGTATGAAAGCTAACTCGAGTTTTTCCGCTTTTAGAAGTACATCCAAACACTATACAATGAACCATATTCAGTAAAAGTACCTTACATCTCTTTGTTTGTTTACTCTCGAGGAGCACAGTAATGCCGGATAGCAACCGTTGTCAAGTGAGAGGTCACGTGGGTGAAAGTCAAGAAAAAAAGTAAAATATTTGAATATTGTAAATTTCCATTTTAGAATTTTTTTTCAATAAATTATTATTTATTTATTTTTATTATTTCTATTATAATTACATAATGCCTTGGACACATGCATGTCTCTCTCAAACACAAAATAATTCAATATGATTTAATCAATTCCAACTTGTAGTCCTTCTTAGTCCAAGTAAATAACTATTGCCGTGACAATTATCACGGTGAGGGGAAGAGTATACGTCTACATGCTATATTTCTTCCATCTTTCCTTTTTCATAATTTAGTGTAAAAATAAAAATGGTAAGTACTAGTAAGTTTAGAAGTTATTCAACATATGAAAATACAGTAGTTATTCACTCATTTGTTCTTTTTTTCAGACTTTCTTAAAGACTATAAACAAGACAATGGGACACGAACACAGATGCCCAGCCTACTGATAACCATTAACAAATTCAGTTTTTAATAATCATCTTTATAAACTCTTCAAGTCACAGGAGATGAGACCATCTTGGGTGAAATTTGGAGACATTTAACTATGGACTAATAAATTGATAATGGACTAAATACAAATACAAAATGGAATTCTTATACCTTAAAAATAGCAGCTCATGAAGAAATGGTAATTCAACAAACTCAACATTAACGTATCACCCACAATGTTTAAAGATTATGACATTTCTATAGATGAAATTGCTGTACTATCAACTTTTCTTTGAAGATATCAGTAGACATATTTATAAGTTTGCCAATACATGGACAAAATGAAATACCATGCATTCATATTGGTAGCAACATCAAAAGTGCAATGTATGAATGGAATTGCAATTGCAATTGAAAATACACTCAACTGAAATTTTATCATATCAATATGATACCTACAACAATACAGAGGTCAAATGCAATAAAAATCCAATTAACAAAATGTAGTCAATTACATGTAATTCAACTTTCAAAATCTGCAAGTCATGACTGACTTAATATTCTAGTCTTAATTTTTAGCGTAYGAATTTATTTTGTCAATTGTATGACCGGAACAGTTTTCAAAGCTTACTATATGATAACACTAAAATGTATGTTATTATTAAAAATGCAAACGGTTAAGCTTATTTCATTGGAAAATGTGGCACTGTAAATAAATTTCGATAATTGTTTGGTGTTTCAACTAATTATTATCACCACAAAAGTCATTTTTTATGAAACTCAAAGTCAATTCCCTAGACTAATTTTATGTATTTGAAAAGCTCGTGCTTAMTAATGACTCCGAATTTCATTGCAAACCAAATACTTTTGCACATAAAAAAATYWTCGTTTGTAAACGTACTAATTTGCATATAAAAACATAGTCATWTGCAAATATTTCGACTTCKAGATAAATRCCTTTTTTAATTAAATGGMCTGATAATAAAAAGAATGAATAACAAAGGAGTTACCAACAAAGCTGCAATTTAAATTTTCAAAAGAACTATTATCTATTTTACTGAAATATCCGTACTTTGGAAGCTATTTTTAGCAATCAAGCATCTCATCTGTCACACAAGGGCACAGTATGTGACATTGTTTAGCGATTCCCTTGCGAAAATAATAGTTACCTAATCATGCCCTTTTTTGACCCTTGCCAAAAAATTGAACTTTCTGTTTCATTTTTTGTGAATGAATATCTATTGCAGATACTTCAATTACCTCTTGACACTATAGACAGTACTTCTTGAACATACCTCATTAGCACTGAATTTTCCGGAAAAATATATACATCACTTACTAGTTGTACTGTAATTGTACAAATTTGCATCCACTATACATTATTCTAGGCAAAATATTATTTTCAAAATATACGCAATGTAGCTAGAAGTCACTCCCAAATGATATTCTAATCCACATGTCAAAGTCACACCTCATTGCAATACAAAACACGTTGCTGAACACTTTTTTTGTCAACATTTTTCTAATTCCCTGTACATCAATCCATATTTTCTGTATAGACAAAGGAACCAAAATTAACATCAACTAAATTTCATTTATATGTATAATAATTTTAATCAAGAACGTCCATTTTACATTCATTCTACATTCATTCTACTTCTTACTGATCTCTCTTACATAACATGGCAAATTCTCAACTACTATAACATAAATTCAAGAAACAAATTCACATTTTATAATGTAAAAACATGAACTGCTGCATAGTTTATACCAAGATCAAAAATTCAAAATAACACAACTCAACATATTCAACAAAAATGGAATCCTTTGCTGCTCTAATTTCTCATAATGTCCAATGTCTTATACCACGATACATTCTACAATCTTTGACTCATAATCATACGTAGCTTCGAAGTTAGCTAATCTTAACAGTTTATCCACTATCTCCGTATCACTTAGATCACTCTCACACGTTCATCTCCGACAACGATTTCAAGTGAACTGCCAAACGCCGTTAAAAAGACAGTTTCATCACCATCTAAAATCGAAAATTTTGCACAAATATCATCTTTTCACTCTTCACTCCTCATGTACCGACCACAATAATCACACTGAACTGAAAATGATGATGCAGCTTGAAGCATTTTTTTCAAACACCTGTGACACTTCTTGTATCTCTCTAACTTCTCCACATCTCCTATCCTTGGCACTTTTTTTGTAATACTTGACATTATTTCAATGCACGATGGGTCGACTGTTAGATCATGAAACATATCCACGTCTTGGATCTCTTTGATAACTGTGGTTACAACTGTTGAGATCTTTTTGTTACCTCTGAAAGAACGCATTTGCACTAGCGAGAGAGGAATAAGTACCACCTTCCTCTACTTGTGAAATGAATTCTTCCCACAAGTCTAGACTGATGCTCTGATCTTTATCGTCTGCTATGGTTGCTGTGCATAACTTCCACTTTCCTCCAGCAAGAAAGGTCTTTCCCTTTTGAACAATTTTTCCAACAACAGTGATTCATTTGAACTCTGTAAAGTCAGTTTTAATTTGCTCAATTGTAGTAGTTGGCGCTTGACTTTCTCTTGTCTACTCTTCGAACTGAAAGGAACACTCATCTGGTCTAGGTACTGAAATATTTGTTGCATCATTTATAATTAGCTTCGTCTTATCTGCTGTACTTGTGAACTTTTGAATCTTGATTGGCGACCGAGAGTTTCCACCATCGACTAGTAACTGCCGCTTGTTCTTGGAATAAAGTAGAGCTGGCTGATGTTCTCCGGCCGATGTCTGCAGCACGAATGTAGAGTAATCGTTCGTGTCCGACTTATTTCTCATGCTTGGAGACAAATTATGAACGTATCCAATCACTCCATTACCACTTGCTGGACTTCCCTTCGCCTCGCTTTTCGTTGGCGTTACAGGCAATTTCAAATTATCTCGTAGTTTGGAAGTACTTGTAGAAGGGCTGCTGGTAATGCTTTTTTCCGTTGCATCCATTGGACTTGGAGGTACTGAAATCGCAGGCTTAGCTATCGGCGTTTGCGGCAATGACTTTCCACTTTTCTTCTTGGACATACTTAAATCTCGGCTTCGAATACTGATAGACTCGCTTCTTCACACTAGCTCTCGCACGTTCTCTGCACTCGATCTTCACACATGTTTATATACTGGTTCAAATCGGATCGAAATTACTTCTTAGCTATTGGTCTATTTCAAACCCTACCTATGAGAAAACACTATGAGAAAACGAACCAAACACCTCATTGGTGCAAAATTACGAACTTTCATTGGCTGATTCATTTATGCAAAATCAACAAAAAATAGCAATTTGTGTTTCTTTTCTGAATAAAAACCTTTATTATCACTAAACTACTCAACATTTGCCCTTTATTTCAACACACCTTCCTACCTWCACTTGAGAACAATAACCTAGTCAAATATTTCACGCATTGGGCTACAAATACAGCATTTTAATCATTTTTCTACACCTTATATACCCTTATGATCAGTCTTTCCCAGCTTTCCCCCCCCAAAAACAAAACAAGAACTAAAAGCGTTAAAAGTCTTTACAGTTCAACTTCGTTTTCGTTTTTACAATATTTCTATTATTAAAAATTATATTATACCAGTGATTATTAATTTATCATCATCAATATCATCATTATCCTCATCAATATCACTATTTTTATATCATTATCGCTGTTATTATCAACATTATTATTATTATTATTATTGTTACTATTATATTAAATCAACACATAACATTAAAAAATAATATTTAATAATGATAAATTTAATCGTAATCTTATCTCACAATCTCCGAGTTTCTAGGCGCCATTCCGGCTTTGATTAATGATGATGACAGTGATCACACCTRCATTAGACATCRGCAATGACATGCAAACATTTAAGGTTTTGTTTGGTGTCTTGCTTCTGTTTGTTATGTCAAAATGTCAAAATGCTGCGGTGCTTACAATAATGCACAGACTAGATCAAACTTWCTTTGGCTGTCGCTTTGAAGGCAGAGATTTCTTTACTATGATTGAGGGTCAAAGGTATCTATTTTGGTMGAYCACRGGTGAATTACCTGAAACGCTAACTCAGATTGCAAATGATATATCGCCTCATTTGTTAAGATTCAACAGAAATGYCATTTTAAGACAAAGACATAGGAGATCCAAGCTGAACGCCATTAATCAAGTTTTGTTAACCATAATGTGGCTAAGAAAATA